CCTGCAGTCCCCACCAAACACAAATGTAAGCCTGGTACAATTCTCCGAGCCGTCGGCACGGGAGGTGAGAACCAGGGCTATGCAACAGCAGACAGAAATAAGAGGAATAAATTATGACAGGAAAGGATAGTATTGCCAGATGAATAAGGAAAAGACAACTGACATTTAGCCTGGTACATTTTTATGCATTTATGAATGGATCCAAGGGAATATAACCAAGAACAAAACAACCACGTCTGAAAGAATTACTATGGCATCCGCGGAGGCAAAGGGCCGCAGCCGTCATTTTAGAAGTTGTTCTAATATCTAATTTCTTCGGTCAGAAATACTTCACATAGCCAAGTGTGGTAGCACACGCCTTTAACCCCAGCACTCGGCAGTCAGAGGCAGTTAGAGCTCTATGAATTCGGGCCAGCCTGGCCTATATAGTGAGCTCCAGGCTAGCTCTGGCTACATAGTGAGACCCTGTCTCAAAATACACAACGAAAGTACTAAAGGCTAAGATGAAGTCCAACCGCTTACCTACCTCTACCCACTAAGCACAAAGACAAAAACTGCTTTCAGCCAGCTATGTTGTGTGCGCATGTAAAGCGTGCCTACGGAAGCGCACTCTGACAGTCACGTGTACAAAACGCCGTGTGGATGTGTTGTTAACAAAAACCAGCTAAGCGAGGGAACAGACTGGTCATAAAGCAGTTGCCCTGCAGTTGAACGGGCTCTTAATACAGTCAGTATCAAGCATTTTATTAATGCTACTCTGTTTTCTTTCCACGCCCTGGGATACCTGTCAGGGCATTTATTAAGTATGTGCCTACTCAGAGCAGGCACGCAGAAAACACGCCTTGCCCCTACCCACACTCGTGCAAACCCTCCTGAAACGCAGCGGGACACACACTCACACACACTTAACACCTCTAACATTGTTCCGAATGCTGTTCCCCGACAAACTGTGCGGGTTTCCTCGGAGCGTCGCGAGTTGCTCAGATAGGTTTAGAAACATTCTAAGCTAACCAAGGGCCGCAGTTATAATTATTACATTAGGTCCATAGGAACAGAACAGCAGGTAGGAGGGAAGGGGAGGGGTTCAACGGGGAAAAAGGAAAAGATGAGGACAGCGGGTGGAGGGGGGGTGTTTACTGAACAAAGCGCATTAAGTGTATGGACTCTGAAAGACTAAATTAAAACACATACAACACTGTGTGCATCCATGAAATATGACACCATAGACAGGGCCCCCATATCATCAATGTAGTATTATCTTTAAGGTCTTAAAGTCAGTCTAATTTCCTTCAGAGAAAATGAGCCAAAACAAACAAGCACACATATCAAAACTTCCGGCTCTGCCTCCATTAGCGCACACTGGTTTCTGAGGACCCGCTGTTCGACTGTTGGTGTTCAGCCAGCCATGTCGGACCTACGCCAGTATGGAGTTCATCAGCACAGCTGTCCCCAACAGCAAGCGAGAAGGCTCCCCCAGAACCCTGCAGCGACGGCAAACTGTTAATCTTGTGATGTCTCCAGACTTCCCTGCAGGGACGGGGACGCAGACCCCACTTTACTACGCTGGAGAGTCACCTCTCAGCTGGAAGACGGACGCGCTGAGCCGATGCCACAGTCCAGGCTTCTTGGAAACGTAGAGGCAGGAGGATTGCTGGAGTTCAGGAGTTCCACGCCAGCCCGGGGAACACAGTGAGACCCTGCTAATCTCCAGCTCTTAAAAAATCAACCAATCAAGCAACACTAAACTTCTGGGTCCTCTGTAAGAGGAGCAAGTGCTCTTAACCACTGAGCTACCGCTCCGGTCCCTGGAGTCTCTTCATCTGCTGTTATGTATGTCAGGCCACATGACCCACAGACTTCTGGGGAGTCCTGTCTAGGCTTCCGATCATCTGCCAGGAGCAGGGAGATTCCAATGTGCACTACCAGTTTCTATGGATTCTGGGGATTCTAACTCAGGTTCCTGCATGTTTTTATCTATTGAGCAATCTCCCCAGGCCCAAAACAGCATTTTGAAATAATTATATCCATTACTTTCTTCGGTACACATTTATTAAGCAAATACAATGTCCTCAATGGTACTGGGCCAACAGGAGAAAACTAAACAGTGGAATTAGTATGCAGTAACCCTGAATCCAAAGAGCCCATAGTCTGACGCAGAATCTAAACCGGAGAAGCCCAGCTATACGGTAAGAACTGCCTGGCAGAACAAGAGGAAACAGACTACAGCCAGGAGAGGCGGGGTGGCGAAAAGTCAAGGACAACCCCCAAAGGATAGCTCAAAACTGGCTGGGAAGAAGAGAGTCCCCTCACCTATGGATGGAAAGCAAAACAGAATCCCAAAATGAAGAGCAACAGCGAACTCGGAATTCATCCCAATAATTCAACACTCAGGGCCATCCTCAGCTACACAGTAAGTGTGTGGTTAGCCAGGGTTACATCCTCTCTCAAACAAAAAACACACAAACTAACTCACAAAAGCAGCAAGAGTAAGCAAGCTGTTGGGGCAAAAAAGTTGTAGGTCTTCCTGCGGTGTTCCTTACAGGTTTTACTGGTTAGGCAGCAGGAATGTATCTGAGACTTGTAGCCACAAAAAAAAGTAGCATTTTCTAATGAATGGATCAAGATTCTGATTTTGCCCAGTCAACTCATATTTTCAACATCAAGAGTTCTGTGTGTAAAAATTTCCTGGCTCAGGGATTTAAACCTGTGAGTTCTAAACCAGCCGTGTTAGACAGCAAGAGCTGTCTCCAAAATTTAAAACAAAAAAGCCTGCTTACCTGAATGGAAAAGGTATTCCCAGCCATGGGACGCAGAGGCAGGAAGATCGCTGCAGGCTCAAGGGCAACCCTAAATATGTGGCAAGTCCCAAGTGAGCTGGGGTTACACAGTGAGACCCTGTCTCAAACAAACAAACTCACAGTCAAACAAATGCAATCAGCTGGGCTTAGTGGGGCAAAGATGCACATAGTCTCCAATACTCAGGGGGCTGAAACAAGAAAATCATAAATTCAAGTCGGCCTGAACTAAAGAGCGAGTTCAAGGCCAGTCACTAACTTTCCTGTTGCAAAATTTATGAATTTCTGGAAAAACAGAAGGGAAAAACAAAACAAAATGGGGCTGGAGAGAGAGCTCAATGATTAAGAGCATTAGCTGCAAGTTAGGTGGTGGGGGCTCACACCCCAAATCCCGGCAAGCTATGAGTTCGAGACCAGCCTGGTGTACAGAGTTCCAGGACATTCAGGGCAACACAGAGAAACCCTGTCGAAGGAAAGAAGGAAGGAAGGAAGGAAGGAAGGAAGGAAGGAAGGAAGGAAGGAAGGTTGGTTAAAAAACAGTATTTGCTGCTCTTCTCAAGGATGGGAGTTTGGGTCTCAGCACTCACATTAGGTGGCTCACAACTGCCAGTAACTCTAGATTTAGAGGGATCCAGTGCTCTCTTTTAGACTTCACAGGCCCTACACACATGTGCACAAATGCACACCCAAACAAACGGCACATATATAAAAACGTCTTTTGTCAGGTGTGGTACTGAATAACTGCAAGCCCAGCATTCAGAAGGGAGACACAGGAGGAAAAGGGAGGAATTCAGAGACAGACAACATGGAGTTGGAGGCCAGCCTGAGCTCATAAAACCCTGTCTCAAAACAAACAAAAAATCAGGATCCTGTTGGGGACAACGGGTGGCTCCTCAGGTCAAGTACTTGCCATAGAAACCTGATGACCTCAGTTTGATTCCCCAGGATCCAAACAAAGGTGAAAAGTAGAAAACCAACTCCATCAAGTTGTCCTCTGACCTCCAACACAGACGGCACTCATGTATGTACACACATACACACACACACCATATACACTGCACATACACACCAAAAATAAACTTTTAAAAAGACAAAATTGTATATGGTTCAACATTGCCTGTACTGGGTCTAACACACTCCAATAACAATACTCTGAGCCTCCATCCATAACCTTGAGGAGGATTACAGCATTCTCATGCCCAAGTTTGCTTAACTTCACTTGAATGTATATGCTTCCCATATTTTACAAAATTTTTCAAAGAGGCAAAACCATGGCAACAGATTGTCACTGATTTAGAACAATTAGGAACCAACAGAATGACTGGCAGAAGCGTGGTGAATCGTGCCAGGAGGCAGGACTTCAGCAGCAGTGAAGCACCCACCTAGCCTGCAGGAGGTCAGACTCCCGAAGCCTGACCATCGCCCTTCACAGACACTAGCTGGGAGCAAGGTGTTCCTCCTGCACCAGGCTGTGGAGTGAATTTCTTCAGTCACTAAAGGGGTGATCTTGGGCAAACTACAAACTCTCTTCCGTTTCCTCAAATATAATTAGAGTTAATACCGCAGTGAGTTCCACACAGTTCATTGCCACAGAAGTCATATTAACTAATTCCAGAGGTTGGTACAACGGCACAAACATGTCAGCGAAACCCTGTCTCAAAAAAACAACAGTAACAAAAAGAAAAGCCAGCACTCAGGAAGCTGAGGCAGGAGAATCTCTCTAAGCTAGAGTCCACACTGGTCTATACAGAAAGTCCCAAGCCAGCCAGGGGGTTCATAGTGAAGCTCTGTCTCAAAGACAGAAACAAAATAAATGTCACCTCCAGCAAGCATTTCAACAGCAGTGGAGATGGCCAGGGCTTCCAATCCTCTGAATCATCTCCGTATCTATTGTCTCAATAGAACTTTTGTCTTTTTGGAGTCAGGGTCTTCCTCTTAGCGCAAGCTGGCCTGTACCGAGGTAGCATAGGCGGGTTTCAAACTCAGAACAGGTCCTCCTGCTTCGCTCTCCAGCTGCTGGGATAAAGGTGTGAGCCACCAACTTCAACAGCGAGCAGTCAGCAGTCGTAAAACTCACCTCTCTTCCCAAGACGGAGGGAGAGGTGTTCACTTCACGCCCTTTCCCCCACCTGCAATCCTTTGGCTTAGGCTAGCAAATGGGCAAGGATGCAGAGCTGATGCACTGCTGAAGGGCTCAAGCCATACCTGCGCTCCTGCACTCTCCGCGGAAGGAGCCAAGGAACCGTCGGGCAATGCATGCGCAAAGCTCTCCAAGAACCCCCAACAGCACAGGTTCGGGTCATCACTCCTAAGGCTACTCCTACGTGCAAGCACGAACTGGGGGCCAGAAAAAGGATTGTTTATTGGCCAAGTTCCAAAAGCGGAAGGCCTAGCAGATATTCCTTTCCCTCCATATTTCAGCACGAAAACTCCCAACTTCTCTTTTCCGCTTTATGATGTCAATGACAGGTATAGGAAGGCAAAGTCAAATGTCTAAAACAGGCCAGCATGGGCTGTGGGAGCTTGCACAGCAGGTGGGAACCTCTCCAGGGACAGGTGTCTTGACAGATTAGGGTGACTGCCGTCAAATCTCCCTGGGGACACACCGAAGGAAATTCCCTTCCCAGAACATCAGCTTCCTTCCACCCGGCCTGACAATGGACGCCAAAGGATAAAGGACTATTTAAAAACAAACGAGGACTTGCTTGTCTGGGTGTGCCAGGCCCTGGGTGCAAACCCCAGCACCGAAAACAAAGAAAAAGGTAAGATTTCTCATAGTAGAGCACAGGATTCTGCCACCTGCTACAAGAGCTCTTTAAGACTCCAGGTCACCCAGTCCTAAGTCACTTCCCCTCTGCACTCTGGAGTGTCCATGGGGAGGTGAGTTGGGACGACACACAAAAGCAAAAGACAAGAGGTTTGGAAACTAGTCTCCAGCCATCCACACTCCACCGCCCTAGGTCTCCCTCCCCTTCGGCTTCCCGGAGGCTGCTGACCGGCTCTGGAGTCCAAGCAGGCGCAGCTACTACCTTGGCTAATGGCAACACTGAATGAAAGGAGCCGAGGCAGACTTAGGATTTATGAATGTGCAGGGGAGGAGGGATATCATGTGACAATAAAGGAGACCGTCTTATTCACAAAAAAAAAAAAGTGACTGGTGGCAAGCGAGCTCAGTCACTAAACAGCAGTCACAGAGTAAGGACCACTTGGACCCCAGGCAGAGTACCGGGGGCCCAGGCAGAACGGCGGCCCCGCCCCCAGAACCCCGCAAGGGAAACGCCTCGAACCCAAGAGGGAGACCCAACCCAACGCGCAACTAAGGCGTGAGGCACTGCCATTTGCGGGAAGACAGTGACAGGCCCGGGTCTCCCCAAGGGGCGGCCCGGGAGCACCTCCAACTAAGCACCGAGAGCTTTGTTCCCCTCGGGCCTGCGTGCCGGGCACACGCTCGGGCACGCGCTCTCCCTCACAGACACGCCAGGAGCGCGCTTCCCGCACGCTCTCTCCCGCCCTCGCTGCACACGCTTCGGATCCGCCCCCAGAGCTGCCCCGACACCGCGCGGGGAGCGTGTGCCAGCCCACACGCGCGTGCACACACTCACGCGCACCGGGACTCCGCGGGCTGCTCCCGCACTCCGGCTGCTGCGCGGACCCAAGCGCACGGACCCTGTGCTGAGCCGAGCCTGCCCTCCCCCAGCTCCTTCGTGTTTTTATGAATGAAAATGTGGTATGCAAATGAGAGCGATTCAAGAAAACGAAATGGCGGAGCCGGGCCCCAGAGGGCTCCGGAGAGGACTGTGGGGCAGGCAGCAGAGCGGGAGTCACAAAGTCACCATGCACACAAACCCATCGACCCCGGGATGCCCCGCGTGGAGGGCATTGGAGCTTCCGCTCGCGCAGTGCCAGTGCGGGGGACCGCCCCGAGGTCATTCGCGCGCCCTTGGCCCCGGCCGCGACCCGGACTCGCAGACCCTAGGCGGTTCCTGCAGCTTCCCCCGGCCAGGCTGGAGAGCCTCACGCGCAGCCCCGACAGCCAGCAGCACCCCACGCCAAGTTCCCCCGACGAGTCCCCCGCCTGCGTCCTTGGCGGCGGCCCCCACGCCTCCCTGCCGGGCACCCACGTCCCACCCCCGGCGAAACTTACTCGTCCGGGTGTGTTTCTTCGGTCATTTTCTTGTTCACCTAGACGCCTGTCCCGCGGCGGGCAGCCTGGCTCCCTTCATCTTCCTGTGCGCTCGCCCCCCTTCTTCACATCTCCGACATCTCCTGATTTGGTGGTGGAGGGGGGAGCTAGAGATGAAGGGGGCGCCTAGGCAGGCGGAGAAACGGCGCTCCCCGAGCGCAGGGCGAGGTCTGGGAAGGGGTGCACCGGGCAGCGGACGCCACAGGCCGGCCGGGCGCGGCCCCCAGGCTCTGAACGGGCGCAGGGGCGAGATTTGGGAAGGGGACCCGGAGGGGTAGAGCAGCAGAAAAACAAGCACGCTCGGGGCGGCGGGCGGGCGGCTGGCTGCGGTGAGGCCGGGCCGGGGTCGCCCCCGGGGACCTGGCCAATCAGG